CCGAAGGACTGCTCTGGAAGGCTGGCCGGCCTCGATCTGTGCGACCCAAAGGACTGCTCTGGAAGACTGGCCCGGCCTCGATCAGTGTGACCCAAAGGACTGCTCTGGAAGGCTGGCCCGGCCTCGATCAGTGTGATTTGCCGGCCTGGGCTGGCACAGTCAAGGCTGTGAGGCAGCCCGGGTGCTTAACAGGACTTAAAAGCGGGACTTCTCATCGGGCACAGGCCAAGACAGAGCAGACAGAGATAGAAAATGACCACATGAAACAAAGTGGAGACATTCTTCAGAATAGTGTGAAAATACTTCCGTAATGCAGGATACAAATACTTTTTTAAATGAAGTTTTTGTGTCCTTGTTGCATTGAGAAGTGGTGACCCCATATCCTAGCCCTCAGGATGACCCACGCTTGCATTTCAGATCTACTGTCCTGCAGGTACAGCTGCCATTGTTAAGAGTATGTTTCCCATCTTGACACCATCATCACAGTTTACACAATTGCACATGGAGGGTATTCACCTTCAAACTATGCTTTCTATAATTTTAGCAAGACAGGAAGAAATACCTCTTTAAAAAGCATGTTTATAACTGTGTAAAAACAAGAATGATAGCATCTTACATTTTTCATTTAAAATTTTAACTCATATCAAACCTGAGATAAAGCCAGCAATTTCAGTCCATGTAACTCTTAAAATTACTTATTTTTCTAAAGATCAATTGACCTCGAATGTGAGAATTTATTTTGAAAAAGTATTTTACGAAGAAAAGGAGTCCCTAAATTGCTATACAAAGTTGCTTTGCCATCTTAGCGACTGGATGGAAAATAGCTCCCTCATCACAAGGATCCTGGAACATTGAAATCGATTCCCTTTCCTTTTAAGGAAATAATCATTTTCTTACCTTAGACAAGTCTGACCATCTGGTTTTTGCTTTGGTAACAAGATACTGATGAGCCTGTTCACAAGCTAGTTCTGAATCTGCAACCTTCTGTTTTGGTCTTAAAAGAAAAAAAAAAAAAGAATCTGTTTAAATTTAATGGACTCATTAATCTCCCAAGGGATTCTCCTACCCCGGTTTGTTTCAAAGATAGCGTTAAAGTCTGCTATTTCACATCTGGTCTAACTTAATTCTTAAAATACAGTCTTATTTCCCCAGCTGCATGTTAGGGCAATCTTAAATTTTAGGAGTACTTGCGCATTTCCAGATAAATGCTGTTCAACTTTTCCTGCAGTTCACAAAACAAAAAGGGCTCATTTATTCCCAGAGGGATAAAAAACACACTATAACATTGTCTTCAGATGAAGACAACTAAAGACTTTTATTTCTGAACGTACACGTTGGCGTGATCACGCAGACCAAAGCTAACAGTCCAGGAACACTGTGGGAACGTGACCTACAGACTCAGTCTCAGCTCATGTTCAAAGGTTAGGTCTATGGGATGTAAAATGATCAAAACTCTGTTTAGTCACAGAACGATGGGCGCCAAGGACACTTTAAAAAAAGACTGTGGCTAGGCCTCCACGGGGCGCAGTGAAGACTGTGGCTGAAGGAGTTTGGGGTGCCCTGGATTCTTCCAATCACTAAAACAAATTAGGGGCGCGTGAAACCCTGTAAAACCCTTTGCCACTTCCTTCTCCGCGGTCGCCTTGCTTGGAACCACGCTTGCGCACAGGCACGTGGGTGATCAGTGCATCTTGCCTGAGGGCGAGTAAGGGGGACACCTGAGCGAGGCCCCACAGGGACCCTCACAGCAACTTCCCCTCAAGGGAACCTGGAAAACCAGGGTGGGGACAGCACACAAGCCCCATGTCGCCCTTTTAAAGAAGTGGCGTTATTCATGCTCCAGCAGGTGAGCTGCCGTAAGGAAAAAACTCTAAAGTCAACCAGGAGGCCGCCAGTTGAGAAAATGCAACAGTCAAAGGTTTATGTGATCCCCAAAGACGCGGCTTTGTAGCTGACCCTTTGTATGTGATGCCAGGTGGGGAGCACTGTGGTTTTAGGGTAATCGTGGCCTCCACAAGCTCTGTGACCAGTCAGGCTGGAATTACCGAATCTGGGTTTTCACAGCAGTGCTGGCATTGCCACCCCAGTTTGCAAAAGGGGATGCTGTGGTTTAGAGGGGTGAAATTGCCTGCCAAAATTGCACAGCCAGTACCGGGAATCCTGGCACTGAAACTCAGGGCCCTCCCATGCCAGAGGAAAGCCTTTCTCACCGTTGTCATTCCGTCTGAAGCTACAGTTTTGGTAGCCCCTCTACCTTCACTCCTCAGAGGAAAGGATCCATTAAATATTACATTTCACAGAGGTGAGGGCCACCCATGGTTTTTACACGCGCAGGATCTTCTTTTCACTTAACATGTCTATTTCAATTCAACCGGAGCAGTTCTGCTGAGCACCACTGAGTGCCAGGCACTGTGTGAGGTCCTGGGGAAGGTGAAGCCTGCAGCGTCCCAGAGAAGGCCCTCCTGGAACATCGCACTACTGTCCTACATTTTAAAAGCAGACAGCAGGACACAGCACTGCAACCAACAAGTTGAGCAGTAATCATTGCTCTTCACGTGGCTTCTCCTTTAAATCCTTCCTAAGAAACTCTGCTGCTGGTCTCAGCTATCCTGGACCGCTCCTCAGGTCCCCTGATGACTGACAGTGCTCCGTACGCACTGATCACCAACAACACCGTGGCCCTCGTTACCTCAGGAGCCCACACTGTGCTGTTGACCCGTGTGTCACACGGAAAGGGTCTTATTCAGACCAGCGCTTCTTTGGTGATTTACGTAAACTTTGACTCCTGTGGTTCGGCAAACAAAAATTCTTGCATTTCCTCAGTGGGCAGGTGCTGAGGACCCGCTGCAGCTGGGCGGGGTCTTCTCCCTCTTCCCATGTCGCTGCTGAAATGGACCAAATGAGGTCATGCCCACTTTCATTTTCTCTCCTGGCAGATGCCAGCTTGTGGGGAACACAGGTGAACTATGGTGGCACACCTCCCCCGACTGAGACCCCCCCAAATACACACAGTCTTTAAATTCTCCAGTTGCTTTTATATTACCAAGTCCGGGGTCTCTGCTGGCTTAACGTGTGATGCTGTTAACCATCGCCCCCTCTCTAGTCACCGTCATGATGCTGCTCTTTAAATGACACCATGGGTTGGAACACCCACCACCTGGCAAACATGTGCCCTCAGTGAGTGACTCTCCCTCTCTGCCTGCCCCCTCGACCACTCCTCTCTCCTTCCATCCCAAAGCTTATGTACTCTTCTGAGAGGTCATCCCCGCTCCTGTCCCCAGCTACCACCTGGATGCTGTTTGCCCACACTTCCATGCCATGAGCACGGTAACCTCACGTGCTTCTCCGTTCCGTCTCCAACTGTCTACCGGACTTCACAGAATCATGGAATTTCAAGGGTGGAAAAGGATCCAAAGATGAAGCAGTCTAATCTTCTATCGTTACTTTACCACTAAGGTTTTGGAAGGTTGGGTGGATTATGTTGCATTTTCACAACTATTGTTTAAAAGGACTGTAGGTCCTCACGAGGCCTATTCCCCTGCCTTCACCGTTAGGTGCCTCATAAATCCTGTCTGAACCCAGAGGACGCACCTGGCCTTCCCTCAGAAGGATGGAGATCCTGAGAGGCGTGTTCTGTCTCTGCAAAGTCAACTCACCATCAAGCTGATCTCACTGTCTAGACACATGTCCAAGCAGCCTCCCTACCCAATTCCTTTTCCAGGCTATGAGGCTGGATTATTTTTCTTAGTGACTCGTGCTCAAACCAGGAGCTCCTACCTATTTCCCATTCATTTCTCCTCGGTACCATTTTATATCCTTGTCTCCTCTAGAGAGATTGGAAGGTTTTTCTGTGGCCTTTTCCAGAAGTTACTTATTTTCTCTCCTATTGTCTGCCTCTTTAGATCTTGACAATCAGTCAGATCCAGCCTTCCTATCAGCCAGACTGTCAGTCACAAATGCATACAATGTGCTGCTCTAAGTCCTACAAACACAATGATGAGCATGGTGAACAGAACCCATGTCCTCAAGGAGCTCATCCTGTGATGGCAGGAATGTGCAGCAAACACATGGAAAAACAAGTGAATCAGATAACTTCAGCTACTGAATGTGACTGAGAATGATGGACCAGGGCGGGGTCCAGGGCACTTCAGCCAAGAAGACCAGAGAGCAGGGACTCCTTGAGGCATGAGTGATGACCCAGTTAAGGTGGAGTAGACACACATACTTACTTCATCCTGTCTCTTCCACTGGTTACAACCAAAAACTCTAGACAGAATACAAAAAGCAACTCTCTGAAGAGACAGTAAAAAGTAAATAATAGGAGGCTTATGGAGAGGGAAATCAAAACTTGAAGAACGACTTACATAATGGTGAGGTTCATGGGCTTTTTTCCTCCCATATTTCCAACTTAAGGGCTGCTTAAAGGCAGTCCTAACTCTGGAACTGTGCAGTGGATATGGACAGAAAAATCTCCAAAAGAAAGTCTGTTTTTCTGACCGAAGAACTAGGAAGGTGAGCCCCTGAAGTACAAAGAGCATGGGGGAATCCCCCCTTTCTTGTCTCTTTTTACTGTCTCATTCCTGATCTGGGGCAAGCCCAGTTACAAAGGTGCACTTCTATGCTGGTGCCAGCAATAGTATTGGCCAAGTAGGTGCCCACGACTGAAATTCTTCTCTCCAACCAGAGGAGATGGTAAAAGGCGTCCCTGTGTTCAGGGAGGATTGGAGAAATCCACATGACCTTCTCTTTCTCGTGTTTATCTCACCATGTTGGCCTGGAGGGGGCCCCAGTCAAGAGAAGCACTCAGTAGCACAGAATGGCTAACACCTAAGATTGTCCAACCAGAAGAACAAAAAAGGGGTCCCTGAGTGCTGGAGAGTGTGGGGAGAAATCATAGAGAGGGCTAGAAAAAGGGACGCCCAAATGAATGAAGGAAGTTCCAGGTTCACCTGTGATGTGCACATGTGTGAAACTAACCCAGAGCAGCACAGTGAAAGCTTTGAGAACTTTACTACAGTGTAGTTAAGACTGTCTCCTGCGTGCTGCACTCATGGGCTCAGCTGATAGAGCTACAATGGCTTTGAAAACTGAACCGATGTTGAAACCACAGAAGGCAGGTCAGGACTTGCACTCTGAAACTAAATGGATTGATTGCCTGCCTAAAAAAGATCAATCAGTCAACGCATTACCGAGGATGTTAACAGGACCAGAGTGTCACAACACAACACTAAAAATGTCCATGACACAGCCCAAAATTACCCAATATACAGAGGACCAGGAAAATCCCAACAATTTTCAAGATAAAAGACAGCAAGCACCAACTCCAAGATGACCCAGATGTTGAAATTATCATATTTTAAAGCAGTTATTATAACCATGAAGTAAGAGTACACATTCTTAAAATAAATGGAAAGACCAGTTCTGAGCAAAGAAATTGCAGTCAAAAAAAAAGAACCAAGTGGAAACTTTAGAACTGGAAAAAACAACAACTGAAATAAAGTTTTCACTGGATTGGCTCAAGGACAGAATGGAGATGACAGAGGAGTGAGTCAGTGAACTTGAAAATAGATGACTAGAAATAATCGAATCTGATCAACAGAGGAAAAAGAAAGAATATATCTCCAAGGACTATGATAGAGAGACCTGTGATACAAAAACAAAAGGTCTAACACCCGTGTCACTGGAGTACTGAAAGGAGAAGAGAAAAAGATTGGTACAGAAAAAAATTTAAAACTTCAGGAAATAATAGCTGAAACCTGCCCAAATTTGATGGAAAAACAAATTTACAGATTCGGGAAGTTCAGCAAACCTCAAAAAAGATAAACTCAAAGAAAATCATGCTCAAACACATCATACTAAAACTACTGAAAACCAAAGCTAAAGAAAAACTCTTGAAAGCGACCTGAGACAAATGACACATTACAGAGAGAAAACCACTTGAATGACTGAGATTTCTCCTCACAAACTGTGGAGGCCAGAAGACAATGGAACAAG